CAGAAGGAGAAGAGCAGAGGAAGCGGACTTGACAGACCTAAGATGGGTCCTAGCTGGCCCAGCCATTGAGAAGCCGTGTGGCCTTGGGCAAGTCAGTCCCCTCTCTGAGCTTCAGTTTCCTCATCTGTAAACTGGGGATAATAATAATAATGCCTACCTCATAGTCGTGCTGTGAAGATTAAATGTGACCCCATGTAAAGTGCTAGAACAACGATGGACACTAAGTGCCGTGTGCTACCTGTTGTTATCATCACGCCGGCCTCTCACCGAGGTGCGTGTGTGAAAGCGCTCTGCCTCTGGGAAGGGCTGTGCACCAGGTGGGGCTCGTGGCCAGTGGTGACGGGGCTAGAACCTGAGCGACCCCCGGCCTAGCGCTCTACGAGGTCAGGATGTCCATCTTGAAGGCCCTCACCAGCCGCTCTCTGGGCCCCATTCTGAATTCCCAAGCTGCCTGCCGCCAGAACCACAGAGCCGGCTGTCCCCATCCCCGGTGTCCCACATCTGCAAGCTCAGAGTTGTGGGGACCAGGCCCTGACTCTCTCCCTCACTCCTCCCAGCTCCCGGCACCATGTGCTCAGCACCCACAAGTGAAATAAAGGAATAAATCATAATGAATAAATAAGTGATGAGAGAAAGGTGTGTGGACGTGTTTTGTGCATGAGTGCTGGGGCCACGATCTGGGGATCACTTCCTAGGGGCTATGGAGCCTCCAAGCCCGGCTCTGCAGTAGCTGCCAGACGAGGAAGGCAGCCAGAGGCCAGGCTAGGGATCTGCGGCTGAAAATGGAGAGGCTGGTCTTTGGGCGGAGACCTAGCAGGGGCCCAGCCTAGATGGTTGCTCCTCCAAGTCCTCTCAGGACGCTGGCGGTCCCTCTCCACCTTGAGGAGAAAGGAATTTCAAATTCCAAGCCAAGCAAACCTCCTCAGACAGCTGCCTCTGGCACCCGCATACTTATTACAGAATAACCCTGTATTGGGGGCCTACTACGTGCCAGGCACTTCGGTAGGCACCTCACTCACAACACCTCCAGCCTTCAGAGGGGGCTCTTGGAAGTGAAGTGACTTGCCTCAGATCACACTGCTAGCAAGTGGCCAAGAATCTAGCAAAACCAGGACTCTTATTAGAGACTGAGTATCGTATTAGAGACTGACCCATTCCCTCCTCTTAGATCTAGGAAAAAACAGAAGCTCAGAGAGGGCAGATTCCTTGCCGAGGTCACACAGCCAGTTGGCTTCAGTGCTGAGATTGAATCCAGATTTGGGGCTTCCCAGGCCATGTAGGAGACTGAACTTGAGGGCTCTGGTTTACTCCCATCACCCTCCTGCCCTCCCCACCCCCAACCTCTCTTACATGACACTTGACATTATCCATCACTCCTTCCCCCTGGGAACACCCTCCGCCTCCAGTTTCCATGGCAGCACATTCTCCCCATCCTCCTTCTGCTTCAGTGGCAGCTTCTCACTCTCCACAGCGGCTCCTGAGCCAAGAAAGCAGGGGGATCCCCGGGCTGGGTCCCCAGTCTCCTCTCTTCATCACTGCCCCTGAAAGCTCACCTCCTTTTCCCTCTGGGTCTCTAGCTCTGATCTGGCACTGCAGCTCCAGTTTTAAGTAATAATGGCTACTTACCACGTGCTAAAGCTTACTATCTTCTGGGCCCTACACATACATTAACTCATTAAATCCTCACAACAACCCCATGAAGAAAGTCCATTCTACAGATGAGGAAACTGAGGCACATGAAGGAAAGCCAAGTTCTGACTCCAGCCTGAATCACTACTTCTATTACAAGAAGAAGAGATATGAAACTGTAGGACATTTTGAATCCAGAGGCAAAAACTTCCCTCCCACCTCCTGAAGAGAGGAATGGAAATTTGGGAGGAAACCAGACCCACTCTACAGTTCTAAGAGCCCTGTGATGATCTAGAATTACACTGTCAATTTGGAGCTTTAAAATACATCATGCACAGTATATTTTGAAATGTGAAGACTTGGAGAGCTTCAGGAGGAACGAAAGTTCATGGAAAATTGCCCTCTTCAGATTTTTCCATTTGGTTTTAAGTCTTCAAAATTCTCATCCTAGGGTTCCAGTTACTAAGGCTCTTCTGCTTTGGTGATCCTGTAATTCACTGGAAACTTGGACCCTGGAGTTCCACTGACCTGAGTTCTGCCACCACTAACAGGCTGTGTGACTTAGGGGTGAGTGGCTTGACCACTCTGAGCCTGACTTCTTGTCTAAAATAAGGGTAATACTACTCCCCCCACTGGGTTGTCATGACGATCAGGGGGATAATGTGCATACAGCACTTGGCACGGAGCCTGGCACACAGAAGGGTTCAGTGGAGCCCCATACTCCAGCTACACACAACTTCTCGGGTTTGCTAAGCACTTGAACATTTCCATGCTTTTGCACATGCTGTTCCCTCTTCTTGGTGGCCAACTCCTAGCCATCCTTTCAGGCCCTCTGATCTTTCTTCCACCTCTTCTAGGATTACTACAAATATGTGTTTCAGTAAAAAGCTAGAAAAGGCACTGCCCTATGACACCCTCCCTGGGGCTCCCTGTCCCTGCATGTCATGGCACTGACATGCAATGATCTGTTTATGCTTTGGTCCCAGCATGGGCTTGAACTTTCTGAGGGCAGGGTCATATCTGATTCATTTCCAACTCCCAGGACCCAGTGTGCACAGCCTGGCATGAAGTAGATTTCAATACGAGTTTGCTTTACCTTAAATGTACGTGGTCTGCACCCAGCCCCTGCTGACTCCAGGACAAATTTATATATAAGAAGTGGTAAAAAGCAGCCAGATCTGTTATAGCCACCAGAAACGGCAGTGAGTGGACCTGGAGCAGCCTTGAGACAGGCCTGTCCCGGGAGAGGTTGAAGCCCTTGCAATGTCACCTCCTTCAGGAGTCTTGCCTGGTTCCTAAATTGTCCCCTTTCTCTGACATCTCCCCAAGGCATTAGCAGGAGGGGTCCAAAGTAATGATGAGTGTCCAGTAGTGTCCCCTGCCTTGCTGACACCCCCCCCCATTCAGACACAGGTGTCTATGGCCACAGGCTCCATTTGGATGATGAAGGTGATGTAGGTGGGCTGGGACCCCAGGCCAAGGTAGCCTAGCAGGCTGGATCTGAGTGCTGGGCACAGCCCCACATCTTCCAGGATGCTAGTGGAGCTTTACCTAGAGGAAGAAAATTCCCAAGTCTGAGAAGAGGGCTGTGCTTTGCCCACTAAGGGCATCCCTACCCACAATGTGCCCAAAGCCAATCTTGGTGCCTAAGCCTCCAACCCCCTGAATGCTAGTTCAGCCCCTGCTGGAGTGACAGCCTCCCAGACAGGGGAAAGGCTTTTGTTCCAAGGAAACGACTGTCAAAGGGAGAAGAGGTATATTGTTTCTTTTTTGTTTGAGACAAAGACGTCAATTTCTTTCCATCTGTCCCAAAAAGGGAAGAAAATTAAATTTGTTTTTACAAGGATGTCAGCACACTGCTTCAATAGGGAGTCATGGGTGTGGGCCCGAGGCAGTGTCTGGGTGGGGGCAGAGATGGGGGGAGAGGACATGAAGCATGAGGAGGCACAGGGAACAAGGACAGACCCTGATATGGGGGAAGCAAAGACCTGGGAAAGCCTGATTAAAATGCCAAACAAATGAAGAGAAAAACTTCTATGCCCAGCTCCAGGTGGACCCCACGCTCAGCAGCTTGAAAGGGGCAGCCAGACTAGCAGCTGAGGGACCTGGGGATCCCCGGGGGAAGGGGAGAGGGGAGCACACACTGATGCTAGCATTGCAGTCATAATGCCTTCTTCCCCCCAGTTCCTTCAAAGTCAAGTCTCCGGGTGGGCAGTTCCAGCTCACTGGAAACACTGGACACACTGGGAGCAGCCAGATCTTGGGAGAAGGGAGAGGGGATTTCCTGGAGGTTCTTCTCAGGGGCCCAAGACCCAGAGGCTGAGAGGAGGAACAGTCCACACCGGTCTTCAGATGCCCGCACCCAGTCCCAGGTGCACTCACCATCCATGGACTCTAACCAGTGTGGTCAGCTGTCCTCCAGCACCTGGGCCAGAGAAACCAGGGCCCTGGGGACCCCCAAAACTGTCTGCTCTCTGGCTGAGGACCTAACCTCAAAGCAGAAGCCCCCTCCCCCTCAGCCCACCCACCACGCCCCCTTGGTACCTAAGCCAACCTGCAGCTCCAGCTTTGGAGCCACAGGACCTCCTCACTCTTTCCAAGCCCCGTTAGAACTCGGGGCTGGGCACCCCACCCTAAATGAGGCCTTGTCCTGCTACCCTATCCTGGAGCCACTGGCCCTGCTCCACTGTCCTGTCCCAAGCCCCACCGAGACGCAGTGGTGGGGACACTACTTCCACGCTGAGGTATCCCTGCCCATTCCAAGGAGATGACTGTCAAGGAGAAAAAAGGTATATTGTTTCTCTCTCCTTCTCTCTCTTTATTTTTTCTTTATTTATAAAGATGTCAAGTTGGACCTGGACTTCAGGGAGCCCAGCCTCTTGCTAGAACTTGGGGCTCTACCCTAAAGTTGAAGCCTCCATCCTCTACACACAGGCCCTATATCGAGCTGTAGCTACGCCTCAGCGTGAGCTGTAGCCAGGCCTCACTGTCCTGCCCTTCTGTCTCGCCCCCACAAGAGGCGCCTACCCACTACACATAGGCCCCTAGTGTTGCCGCTCAATTCTCAAGTCACTGTCCCCACCACTGCCCGTCCTGAGTCCTGGGTCCCGGGCCCAGGATCTTCAGGTCTCAGGCCGGATCCCCACTCCCGCAAGCCCGCTCCGGGTTAGAACTCGAGGTTGTCTCAAGGTGGAGGCCCCGCCCTGTTACAGGTAGAGGCCCTGTTTGGCGGTCCATTTCTAGAGCCACAGAGCCCACTTCCCTAGCTCCTCCCCTCCCCCCCAACCCAGAGCCCTTGACCATGCCCTCAGCCCACAGGCCCTGCCCCACCGTCCTGCCCTCTGCCCCGCCCCAGGCCAGAGGTCCACCCCCACCGCAGGGGCCCCATCTCTCGGCCCCTGTCTGGTCTCAAGCCCGGCCCCCTTCCGCCTCTTCCCGCGTCGTGGCCCCGCCCTCATTAGAAGTCGGTGCGATCGCCAGGCCAGTCCGGAGGGGCGCGCGGCGGGCCGGCCCGGCCCGGTCAGGCGGCGCCGCCGCCACCGGGACCGTCGGAGGGGGTGCAGGCGGTGACCCGCTCGCGGGCCGTGGCGTCGCGGGCGCGGCTGAAGCTGCCGGGGTCGCGGCGGCCGCAGGGCGCGCGGCAGAGCTGGCGGAAGCAGCGCTTGAAGTTCTCGTCGAGGAAGGCGTAGAGCACGGGGTTGAGGCTGCTGTTGGCGTAACCGAGCGCGATGCACAGGTGCAGCGCGGCCACCACGAGCGGGTCGCGGCGGTCGATGTCCACCAGCGTCCAGACGATGACGAAGATGTGGATGGGCGCCCAGCACACCACGAAGGCGCCCACCACCACCAGCACCATGCGCGTGATGCGCCGCAGACTGCGGTCCTTCTCCTTGGAGCCCGACAGCAGGCGCACGCTGCGCAGGCGCAGCAGCATGAGGCCGTAGCACACCGTGATGATGAGGATGGGCACGATGAAGGCGAAGAGAAACACGCAGATCTTGGTCACCGTGTCCCAGTACCAGCTGGGGCTGGGGAACTGGAGCATGCACACCACTGCCCCGTCTGGGTCGGGGAAACAAGGAAAGACAGACAGGGAGTGAGAGGCTTGTGGGCCTAAGGGACCCACCCTGCCTGCTTGCCCACCCGTCTCGGCTTGGTCAAGTCCCACTGGCTCCTCTTGGCCTTTGCTCAAGGTGATTCTTCTACCTAAAATGTCCTCCTTCACCTCTGCACTTGGTGAACTCCTACTCATCCTTCAAGACCCCAGCAGGATGGGCCCTAATCAAGGAGGTCTCTTTTCTATATTCTCTCCCAATCCTTTTATAAGCCTCTATGTCCATGGGCAGCAGTAATGACATAATTTAGCCCAAGCCCACTAAATTCCAGTCATTATGATAACTCAAAACACTCCACATATTTCTAAAGTAGCTCCAGTGGGGACAATATTGCTAAGATTGACTTAGAGAGCCTGAGTTAAGAGCAGGACTCAGGCCTTACTAACTGTGTGCCTTAGCCTTGGGCAACTTATTCAACCCCTACAAGAGCTTCCCTAAAATGGGACTAATAACAGTACCTAAACCTCACAGGGTCCTTGTGAAGATTAAATAGGCCAAGGCATGTAAAGCATTTAGCACAGTGGGGTTTGAGCTCTTGGTGCACAGGGCAGAAGGGTAGATATAGGTGGGAGTCCAGAGGTCACAACTAGGGCCAGGGAGGCAGATCTCAGCTTAATGTCAAGAACTTTCGGACTGCCAGACTTGTCCAGAGATAAGATGGACACCCAAGGTGCAATGAGCAACCTATTCCTGGAGAGGGCTTGGGCTGGATGAGCACCTTTGGGGACATTGTGGATTCAGGTACAGGGCTGAGGCTGGCCCAGGGGACTCCCAAGATATCTTGAATTCTGGAATTTGAGGAGCCATACAGTGGACCTAGAGCCTAAGAGTTGTGAGAAGAGGGGCTGAGGATCCACAGACAGAGTGAGTCCACAGGACATCAGGCTGGCAGGACCCCCAGGGATGACTGACTCCAAGGACTTCATTGTACAGATGGCAGAACCAGACCCAAGAAGGAACAGCACTCATCCAAGGTCACACAGCAAGTGGTATACAGAACTGAGTGCCGATGGCATACAGTGGGTGAGTGTGAGTGTGTATGTGCGTGCATGTGTGTGGAGTGAGGAGGCCCATCTGGCCCGGCCTCCAGCACGGCTGCAGTCAATGGCCTGTAAACTGAAGGCTGAGAGTGAGGAATGGGGCTCAGCTGCTGAGTCAAGACCACTCACTCAGAGACTGTAAAAGGGCCCTGGGAGCTCCACCCTTGTGAGAGTCAAGGGTGGCCCAGAAGCCTCCCACCAAGCCTGTTCCCCCTCCCACCACAGCACTGACAATCTGCAAACCTTTACCCCAGGGGCCAAAAGGAGCAACAGATGTGGGGGCAGGAGCTTTGGGTTCTAGGCCAAATTCCACCAAATGTCTGGCTGTGTGACTCTAAGTAAACCACTGACCTCTCTGATTCTGTTTCCTTACAGTCAAATGGATATAGGAGTCCCTGCCTTGTCTATCTCACAGGCTTAATCATTCTTTTTTTTTTTTTTTAAAGATTTTATTTACTTAATTTTTTCCCCCCAAAGCCCCAGTAGATAGTTGTATGTCATAGCTGCACATCCTTCTAGTTGCTGTATGTGGGACTCGGCCTCAGGATGGAGGGAGAAGTGGTGCCTCGATGCGCACCCGGGATCCAAACCCGGGCCACCAGCATTGCAGCGCGTGCACTTAACCACCAAGCCACAGGGCCGGCCCAAGGCTTAATCATTCTAATAGCTGCTATTTATTGGGCCTTGGCAATGAGCCAGGACTTGTCCCAAGTGTGTGGCTCAGAAGGCTAGTCTTTGGTGTCTTTGGTGCCCTGCTAAACTACGTTCCCCACTTCGTTACATCAAGTTGGGGCACGTGACCAGCTGTCACTAGGAAGAGATGGGCCATAACATTTGAAAGTGGTCTTGCTTTCTCACCACTCCCTCTCCACGTTCATCTGCTGGCCAGATGCCTGCAGGGGAGGACTCCCAAACCATCATTTGGAGCCTGGGTCCCTGCATGACTGTTTCAAATGGCGTCCCTCCTCCTCTCACTCACACTGGCCTAGGATGTGAATGAGAAATAAACTACTGTGTTAAGCCACTGAGCTTTGGAGATGGTTACAGCAGCTACCCAGACTGGTACAGGTAGTACTATACTAATTACCATTTTATTTGGAGGAAATGCACCTGTCTGTCATTCTCTGAAGGCCATTCTCTAGGCCTGGCTTTGGTCATCTGGGCTAGTGGTTTTCAAATTGGAGTGGGAGTTTGGGATGGGACTGCAGATCTCGTGGCCTCCACTGCTCACTAGTCAGTGACACCCTTACCCCATTGGCCATCCATCCAACTCTTATACGTTAGTCCTCCACACACTTCTGGCCAGCTGCTACAGGCACACAGATCCGCTATCCATAATCCCATTCATAAATTTCCTTTGGTTAGTAACCTGTATGACTACTGACCAGTCATTCATCCTCACAACATTCATGTTCCCCATTGGCCAACCATTCATATTCCCATTGGTTGACTTTCCACACTCCCACTGGCCACCCATCCACACTTTCATTGACCGGCAATCCACACCTCCACTGGTGAGCCACCAACACCCACCCTGATAAGTGGCCTGCAAACCCGCAGAGGCCCCTGTGCTGCCTCCTGTGGTCAGTGGCCTGTACCACGGCTCCTTCACTCACTCACCCCGGGGGCGGGTCACAGCCATGACCATGATGGGTACACCAACACCTGAGGCCAGCACCCAGATGCAGATGTTGATCAGCTTGGCTTTGGCGGGGGTGCGGAAGTCCAAGGCCTTGACAGGGTGGCAGACGGCAATATAGCGGTCAACACTCATCATGGTGAGTGTGAAGATGCTGGTGAACATATTGTAGTAGTCAATGGAGAGCACAACCTTGCAGAGCAGTTCCCCAAAGGGCCACGTCTCCATCAGGTACTTGGCACTCTGGAAGGGCAGCGTGCTGGTGGCCAGTGCGTCTGCCATGGCTAGGTTGAAAATGTAGATGTTGGTGGCTGTCTTCATCTTCGTGTACCTTAAAAGCGAGTGCACGTATAACTGTTCCATTTCACAGATTTCAGTTTCACATGAGACTCAGGGAGGTGAAATGACTTGTCCAAAGTCACACAAAAGGTCAGGGGCAGGGGAGGGACTAGAACCCTAAACAATCTGATTCCGCATCACTCCTTTCCACTCCAAAAGATGAAAAGGATTTCTCTGGCTGTGGGTGACTTTGGCAGAAGGTATTTTAGGAAAACTCTTATCTTCTGAGGGGTACTAAGCAATATGGGTAAACATAAAACTGGGATCCAGAGGAAAACAGTTCTGGGTTCTAATCCTGCCTCTACTATTTATTAGCTGAGGGACTCTGGGCTAGTGACTTGAACTCTCTAAGCCTCAATGTTGTAACTGTAAAAAGAGGCGTGTTTACCAACCTCACAGGGTTGTTGTGAAACTTAATGAGATGATACAGCACTTAGCCTTGAGCCCAAAGCACATTAGTGCTCAGTATATGAAACCTGTTATTATTCTTCATATATGAAGAATGAAGCTGGGGGCTAGACCAGAGTGACCTGATCCTCTGGCCTTTGCCACTCGCCTGGCCTTTTGGGAGTATGATTGGCCAACTTTGAGGAAGGGACTCTGCCTACCAGTCTGCCTAGGGCCTTAGACCTCCTGGGGTGTCCTCTGTGGTAGACCAGGGCTCCCAGTCCCTCCTATAGTCCCATCCAGACCTTCTTATCCCCATGCAGCTGGACTCGCCCAGCTGTGGGGAAGGGGCGCAAGTGACAGTGTCACACATCTGACCCAGGCATGAGCCCAGGTGTCCAAGCCAGATATCTGCAACCAAGCCCTGCACCCGAAACTCTCCATCATCCCTCCAGGCTCTATGCTGCCAGACAGCTGCCTGCACTGCAGCTGGCCCCTTCCTGGGCCAACATTTACAATCACGGCCCCTCCTGTGCTGAGGCCTGGGCTGGGCACCAAGTAGCCTGGAGGAAACAGACTGTCCCAGTGCCGTGTGATCATCACAGAAACACACAGGTACACTGAGGCAGGGGTAAGGACTTTTTTCATGCCCCTGGAATGATCTGAGAAACCCAGAAAAGGGATGCATGAGCAACTCCTCAAATTTCCAAGCAGGAAGAACCCTGAGAGATTGAGGGGATGTGATTTTATTAAAGCGTGGTCCAAGGACCCCCTTCAGAATTACTGGAAGAGCGTGTGAGAAATGTAGATTCTTGGACCCCACCCCAGACCTGCTAAATCTTAACCTTTGGAAATCAGGCCTGGGAATCTTCATCTTTAACAAGCACCTCCTCCCCCAAGTGATTCTGATGGACTCTAAAGTTGGTAGCCTAAAGCCCATATTGAGGAGAGACAGGGAAACTGAAGTCCAGGGAAGTGGCATGACGCACCCAAGGTCACACTGCGATGGCAGCAGAGCCAAGCGAGAACTCAGACCTCCTGACTCCCAGACCAGTGCTCTGGCTCTACTCTACCCGACAGGTGGAACCACACCGCAGGCCTCTACTCCTCTAGAATCCCCCTGATTCCACGGCCAGCCCCGGGCACCCAGGATGCTGCAGGGGTCCCATGAGAGCTGATGAGTGCACTCAATGTGTTTTGAATGACTGAACGAATTCCTATCAGCTATGGCTGTTCTTCAGGAAGTGACTGATTTTTTTTGGTTTAAAAAAAAAATTTGACTCACTCATTGTTCTCCAGAGCCAGCATCTGTCCCACTCCCTCCCAAAATAGCTGTCATTTGCCCTGGGACTGGAGAAGGAAAAAGTTTTGCTCGGAGACAGCAGAATTGCCAGTCTCGAGAAGTCTGACTTGAGCCAGTGCGGGATCACAGCTGTGTGGGAGGCGGGCTCAACCCCACAGCTGACTCGCCTAATTTCGCTTCTTTTACGCAGAACAATTAGAGGCTGTTCTTTGCCTGCTATTTTGATTTGTGAAAGATCTTTCAATTCCCAGAGGGGGCTGGGATGCTGGGAAGTAGGTGATGAAGCTGCTATAGCTGGTCCAGGCAGGGCTGAGAGGCACAGCGCTGATTCCGCCGGGCAGAGCCCCAGAGTATCTCTCTGAACAGGCCCGTCCTATGGGCCTCCTCAGACAAATCATGCCACTTTCCTGCTCTCAACTCCCCGTGGCTCCCCAGGGTTCTCTCCGTATTCCACAAGCTGGCCCCAACCACCTCTCAGGCCTCAGCTTCCAGAACCTTCCCCTTGATGGATGTGCCCTGCCTCCCACTGGCCTCTTTGCTGTTCCTGAGACACATCAAGCCCACTCCCACCTCAGGGCCTCTAGACTGCTGTTCCCTCTGCCTGGAACCCCAACTTTTACATGGCTTGCTCCTTCACTTAATTCAGGACTCGAGTCAAATGTCACCTCCTCAGAGGCCACCCCGACCACCCCTCTCCCCACCATCACTCTCTATCTCCTTACACTGCTTCATTTTTCTTTATAGCATGAACCACCGCCTGACTATTTATCTACTTTTCTCTCCCTTTGCCTCTCTAGCCCATGTAAGCTCCCTGAAGGCAGGCCACTTTGTCCATTTTGTTCTCTGCTGTATCGTCAGGCCTACCAACAGTGCCTGGCCAATAGCAGGCTCTCAATAGGCATTTGTTGCACGGATGTCTTAGTCCAGGCCTTATCAGCTCTCCCAGGAACCACTGCAGCAGCCTCTCTCCCCGACAACTCATCATCCACAGAAGTCAGGGTGCTCACTATAAATTAAGGCAGATTTGCTCAGGACACTCCACTGCCTACAACTTTTCCATGCTCCCATTGCCCTCTGGATGAAAGCCAGACTCCTCAGACTGGCAGTCCATCTGGGTAGCCTCTTTCCCAAAGTGCCTTCCCATCATGCCCAGCCACATCTATGGTTCCTCAGACATTCAGTCTAGCACGCCCTCCCTCCTAAGAGAAAGCCAATGTAATGGTTTGGTGGGAATCCTTCCAAACCACATACACATATATAGTTTTTTCTAAAATTTTATTTCTGCCAATTTAATGCAATTACATAGTATAAAAAGTCATATAGTACTATAATGAAAACAGTTGCCTCTCTGCCCTATCCTTCCTTACTCCTCTGTCCTGCTCCCCAGAGGTAACCACGTTTAATGTTTTTACTCATTCTTCTAGTGATCCTCTCCATAAGTCTAAATAATGTGTTTAAATGGCTATTTCTTGATTTATCAATTTTAGACAGTATGTGTCAAAGTTTGTATTTGGTTAAGTGAGGCTATGCAGCAGTAACAAATAATCCCAAAATCTCAGTGGCTTAACACAATAAAGGTTTATTTCTCATCCTTGCGGCGTCCATTCAGTGTCTCCAGGACAATTATATTCCGTGAGGCAATTCCAGCCTGTTTCAATCTTGTGACTCTGCCATCTTAACCCAAGGTCTCCTTGATCTCCATAGCGGGAGAAGAGACAGCTGCAAGGTCACCTAAGCTTCATTCTAGCTGCAACACGGCACTTCCACCTGAAGCCGAATGACCAGAACTAGTCATGTGGCCTCATTCAACTGCAAGGGGCTGAGAAGAAGTCTTCTATGTGCCCAGAAGCAGGGAGAACCAGATATTAGTGAATGCTAGTAATGTCCTCCATAACTCCCTAATATGGTAGATAGGATTGACTCTGTTACACTACCCACCTCTACCTCCTCTCTCCATCCTTGCAATATAATTTTATCACAACTTTTAAATTTTTAGCTAAATTAATATTCAGCATTTACATTCATTTTTTTGGGGGGGGGTTACATTCTTATGGCTTTGTAGGTATTGTCCACTGCTGAGCCAAATGGTATACTATAATTACATTTATTTTCTAGTACAGATTTTTGTTTTTCCTGGAGTTAATAATTGCCTCTTTTTTTCATTTGCTTAGTTCTGTGTACATATTGCTAAATCTCCTCATTCCAGCAGACCTGTAAAATGCCTTTTCTATACAGTCACATAATCTATCAGTTCTTTTTGTTTTCCTAGTGATCCACCTCCTGGAGCCTTCCTCCTCCCCTTTCAATCTGGGACTGGTTGCTTTCTACACCAGCTGCACACCTGTCCTCCTATGTTAGAGAACCCGTTTCCTGGTTTGCAAGTCTGTTCCATCTTGGTTTATGCCCTCGTTTTGGTGGAGCACATCCTTTAGTCACTTCCTAACAAAGGACACATAGGAAGTAAAATTTTTACAGCTCTGCATGTCTGAAAATGTATTTGTTCTATCCTTACTTCTGATTTCTTTGACTGTAAATGGAACAGTAGGTTGGAAATAATTTTCCAGCAGAATTTTGAGAGCATGGCTCCCTCATCTTCTAGCTTCCAGTGTTGCCACTGAGGTACCTGAAACCATTCTGATTCCTGGTTATTTGTATGTAATCTGTCCTCCCCACCTCCTAAACTTTTAGAATCTTCTCTTTATCCCTGGTATTCTGACATTTTGTGATGATGTGCCTTAGGGTGGCTCTTTCTCATCTGTATTGGGCCCTCATTCTGAAGATTCATGTCCTTCACTATGAAATAGCCTCACTTCATTTCTTTGATAATTTACTCCTCTGCTTTCTCTAGAATCCCTGAAAAATCCATTAGTCAGATATTGGGCCTCCTGGATTGATCCTCTAATTTTCTTATCTTTTCTGTTTTCCATCCTTTGTCTTTTTGGTACATCTTCTGGGAAATTTCCTTTTCATTATCTTTCAACCTTTGTATTGTTTTTAATTTTATTTTGGCTCTCATGTTTTATTTTCCCAGTATCAGTTCTTTTTCTCTTATTATTCCTTTTTGATATAGCATTTTAGCATCTTATATCATGGATACAATATCTTCTCATCTCTTTGAGGATACTAATAATTTTTGTTTTGTATTTTCTTCTGCTCTCTGCGTTGTCTGTTTGCCTCAAACATTTTTGTTTGTTTATTTGTCTGCTTTGGCCTCCCTCTTTTATCCTGGAGACATCTTTCAAATATCTGGTGATATGTGACTAAAGTTTGATCTTTGAGTGAAGCACTAAATAACTAATTGGCAGCTGTGTGTGTGTGCATGTGTGCGTGTGTGTGTGTGCATGTGTGCGTGTGTGTGTGTGTGTGTGTGTCAGTGTATGGGTCCTGTCAATTGGTGGGCTTTACTATAGGAGGACTGAGTGAAGACCTAGCTTTTATACTGGGGGACGTCTAAATATCACTGTGTGTAGGTCTCTTCTCCAGGGCCTTCAGAAAAGAATCCTCCAATATCCTACCTGGGGAGCACACTTGTGGCTGTCAGGATTCTGGTAGCACAGCTGGAAAAGGGGTCTGGGGATGCCCCCATTTTCCATTTGGTATCTCACTCTGACCCTTTCCATGTCTGCTGGCCCTGAGTTCAGAGTTCCTCCAGGTTAACTTCTCTAGGGAAAAATCCTTGATTTCCCACAGAGTGGAGTGGTAGTCACCTGGTTGTGAGGGGTACAAGGCGGGGGGGCCTAAGGGTATAATCAATCCCCTGCCTCTGTGTTCAGTCCCACACCTCACCCCTGCTCAGCCTGTTATTCCTCTTGCAATTGCTTTTTGTCATCCAACTATGTGCTAACATCTCTTAAGGAATATAAACTGAGGCACAAGCGGTAAACGCACCTACCCAAGGTCACGTGGCCGGTAAGTGGCAGAGCTGGTGTCTAACTCAGGCTGTCTAGTGCCAACATGTGGTAATGACTTTGCTACACTTCCCCTCAGTGCTTGTTACCTTCTTTCCTCCTCCACCTCTCATAGTTAGTGAAAAAGTCAAGGAATGTGAATTTATTATAAGCTGAAGTTTGTTCACTCATCCAACAGGTATTAACTGAGCACCTAGTATGTGCCAGGCACTGAGTAAGGGATACAGGAGTGAAAGTGACAGTCTGGCTTCTTGAAATTTATGGTCTTAGGGAGAGGGCAGACAGTGAACAAATTGCTGCGCTAATTAATGTATAGTTACCCACAATTACCACTCTACCATGAAGGATAAGAACAGGGTATAGAGATGGACACTACCCAGTGGGAGTATAGGAGGGGTTTGTGGAAGGAACCTGACTTAGATTAGGAGGTCAATGATGGCTTCTCTGAGGAGATGTGCAATGAACTGAATTGTGTCCCCCGCAAATTCATGTTGAAGCCCTAACCCCCAATGTGATGGTATGGAGATGGGGCCTTTGGGAGATAGCTAGGCGTAGATGAGGTCATGAGAGTGGGGCCCTCATGATGGGATTAGTGCCCTTACAAGAAGAAACACCTGAGAGCTTGTGTTCACACATGCTCGTTCCCTCTCTCTCCCTCTCTCTCTCTC